GAACCTTATAAGATCAGGTTACTTCAGGCTATCTCTTTTGCGTAAGGATTAAAGCAGAGGGAACTTCATATCATACCTATTGAAGATTTAAACCGGAAATTGGCTGTTATCTTTCTCCTGAATTCTCCGAAGGTCAGACCACAGCCTAAATGATGTGCATTTAGCAGAGGTGACTCCATTTTGATTTTTAGTCTGGTCTTTTGGGATCTAGTGCAGGAACTTAGTCTAAAACAATGGCCTGTTATAATTTTTATTTAACAATAACATACCAATTTTATGAAGTAATTTTTATTATCTTCGTTTTAGGCACAAGCAAGTTATGTTCATAAGGTTTAAATAAATTGACCAAGGGCACACAGCTAGTAAATAACAGAGCTGGGATGGAAAATTAAGATATTTGTTTTTGTTTTTTAATTCCAAAACCTTTGTACTATACAGCTGTCTCTGATTCATGACAGTTGCCCGCTAAAGGATCATCATAATTATGACTGAAAATGTTTACATTGTATTGTTTTGCTTATCCCAGTCTTATTATGGCATGCAAATGAAAAAACAAAACAAAACCAAACCTCAGAATACATTTGTAATTTTAAAAACATTTCTGGACTTACTATAGAAAGTAAGTGGCCTTTAAAATTTGATTGAAAATTATTTTTACTTTTATCTTTCAAAGTTCAAAGACACATTCTTACATCAATACTGAGTAAGCTCTTAGCATGGAGTGAGTTCTACCTGATCCATTTACAGTAAAATAAAATTTCCTGTATGTTAAGGATTTTCTCCATTTTTCTACACTTAAAATGATTTAAGTAGGTCCCTACTTAATGAGAAACAGTGATGTTCTAAGGAAAAGAAGGTAATTTTGATTATCTCTATTTCAGGAAGCTTCAAGAAAATTTACTTAGGTTCTAACTTTATGGTAGTAAGGAATTTTTAGTTCAGTAGAGAAAAAAATGACATTTTATCCAGAAGGTTTCACCCTAATAATTAAAATAACAACACTTAGCAGACTTTCACAATACTGCAAACAAACAAAATCAAATTGCTTGGGCTGTTTTTGGTTTAAATTACATGGAGCCCTTTCCAGCAATACTTGAAGATACAGAGTCTGGATTGAAATAGCTACATAATTCCTGAGCAGAGGGTTTTCTTTGCTGTAATTACATTCGTGCAGTGACTCATACTCTCTTAATGCCTAGACTTTATAATTCAAAGGAAAATGTTCCCTGGAAATTTGAAACCTGGAAGACTCAAAAATTGTTTTAAAAAAAGTGTTATTATTATTGGTACTACTATTACTGCTACTCCAGCTACTATTCCTCTAAGGAGTATTTTACTTAGGTGCTTTTGATGTCACTCATGCTAGCTCCGATAATGGGATTCACTAAACATGACAGTGATGGAGAAAGGATGCCACAGATATCCAGCCTCAGGGATAGGCTGTTTTGGATCCAGGGACTTCAGCAGCGGATGTTTGGGGCTTTTCACGCTGGTATTCACCCACTGGTTCAGGTCACTTTCTCTTAAGTATCTGCTTATTTATGACTTCCTGTTTTTCTTGTCAGCTGAATGATTTTTTCAGAATTTACTAGTTCAGATTCCCAAGAGAGTGAATCTGGCTGGCTCTGCTAATAAACATTACTTCTGTATGGTAGGGTTTCTGTCTCACTGCTGGGGAAGTTGTTTCAGATTGATAGCAAGGGTGAGGAACAAGTATCTGGCTGGTACCTCTCCTGTTTTGAGTATGGCCTTAGGTAATCGGTTGTGATGTGTATGCTGGAGCAATTACTAGTTTTGCCTGAGGCAGGTCTTAACCATGTAGTTTCACTATTTTGTTAGAAGCCCTTGAAAATTTGTGAAAATGTGACATACTGAAGATTGAAAAAAAAAAAAAAAAAAAGGACAGTTGTTGTTCTGTTGTTTGGCTGTGCAATAGCTATTCTCCCCACCATCTTCCTTCCCCCCAATATCGTCTAGTTCTCTCTGAGCAGTCATGATGTTCTGGGAAGACCAGGGAGGAGAATCTTGCTTGTTCAAAGATGAATGTCCTTGTCAAAGGATTTATGTCTGGCCCTGTAATGTAATTCTGGCAAAATATACTTGAGGAGATGAATGCTAGGAGCTTTTTGTGAAGGGTTTGCTTGTTCTTTTAAAGACCTACAAGGGTTTTTCTTACCTTGGGATATTTTTTATCTGCTCGAGATGCTCAGATTTGCAGCGCCATGTTAGAGTCATGAGAGGAACCCATTAAGAGAATATGCCAACTGCCATGCTGATGGCAGAGCAGAAGGTTGAACATACTCTAGATCTCATAAATGGTGCGGAACCGCCACATGAACCAACCCTGGAACTGCCAGGATGTCAGGTGTATTTTGATGTAATAGTAGCCTCCAAGTATGCTACCAAGCAAGACCAAAATCAATATCACACAGTTTGCTAAATCAATTTAAAGACACAAGAAGAAGCAAGAGTAAAGAGGTGAGTAGGTTAGCACACTTGGGATAGGGTAAAGTGGGATAGAGGGACCACGCTAGCTAAGCCTGGGGTACACAGTGTTTGTATGTCCTCCTTCTTTATCTATTGCATCTGCCTTCCCTGCTGATGGTGTGGTTTACAAGGACCAGAGCTGAGGTTTAGACAAGCCCCATAGATGGCAGGTGCTATGCACTTGACACCCACTTGCTGTAATTGAGAAACTAGGACAAGTATGCCTGGTCTGTAGCTGTAGCCTACTGATTAGCTTGATGGCCAGTCATGAATTCTATTTGTGTTTCTTGGACAGAGAACACATCAGGCAGGAATGAGTGTAAGCAGTTGTTCTTCAGCAAGGTGATTTTGCCCACCAGTGTACATTTAGCCATGTTGGGGGATATTTTGTTAGTCAGGTCAACCAAAGTAAAATGACCACTTGGTTGAGAATTAAAGATTTATTTGAGAGCTCCTTAGGACTGCAGCCCTGGAGACATAGATACTAGAGGCCTTGAACATGTGCTCCTGGGAATAAGAGAGGTCAATAGTGTTTAAAGGAAAAAGACCGTGAAAGGGAAGGGGCAGTTACATTAGTTGTGATTGGTGCTAGCATATGACAAATAGCCTTGTCCATGTGGGTTAGGTTGTAACTGTCCTTTGAGGCTGGCTTTAGTCAGGGACCTTCCAGTTTGGCAGGAAGTAGCAGAAAATGGTGATCAGAAGATTCCTGGCAGTTGTTTATCTAGGAAGTTGCAACCTTCCTGATGTGGCCAAGTGCAGAGTTTCAGAGTGCTCTTACTTAGTTAAGATGTGCCTGAAGCCAGGCTGAGATGTCCTCCCGGCTCCATTTCAGCTGCCTTGATTAGAGCAACACCATTGTCCCTCATTAGGCCCCTCATCAGGCATGACTGATGTGTGTAGGTGATGCTACTGCATCTAGTGGGGTAGACGTCAGGGGTGCTGCTAACAAGCTACATTGCACAGAACAGCCTTTCAAGACAAAGAATTACCTGGCCCAAAATGTCAATAGTGTTGAATTTGAGAAATCCTGGGTATCACCAATGGGTTGTTGAATTAAGACCTCGTGAATATTGTGCTTATATATGTTTAGTGTATCCTGGATATTTAGTGTCTCTTATATTTAGTATATGAGGGTACTTAAAAAAGTTTGTGGAAAAATATAATTAAAAGACAATATGAATCTTTCCATAAAGTCTTTGAAGTACTCTTGTATCTTGAACATTTATTACACAGTTGCCTCACAAATATTTGGTATGTCTTGATCTTCCATTCCTTCCTATCAATGTGTAACAAATATATGATCTTCTTATACGTTACATATCCCATGAATTCTGCCCATGTCTAGTAAAATTTTGCTTACTAGCTATTATTCATCTATACCTAAAACGTCTTGTAAGCCTCAAACTTATATTCATCTAATAGAACTGAATATTTTCAATATTACACTTGCCCTGGAATTTGTTAGCAAGAAATAAGATGATAAATGTCCTGATTGTTTAAGCCACATTTAGTTGTGTTTTCTGCAGTTTGCAGCTTAGAGCATTCTAGCTGGTTTCCACATAAAATGTATTCTGAAGATAAATGAAACATGGACTTAGACTATAATTATAGTTTCCTAAATGGTAATATAAGCATCAGATACTACAGGATTATGGTGCCTGCATTAATGTAATGCTTGTTTGATCATTCTGTTTACATTTCAAGCAACTGTAGCCATGTGCTTATCATGATTGGCCTACATGCTCAGAAATTTGCATTTTATATGACTGTGACAATTGTGGCATGGTGACCTTCAGAGCACTTTTAAAAAGATTTTTTAGTTGGCCCAGTGTCTATTAATAGAGTAGCATTAGAAATTTATAGCTTCAACTATTCTTTTTATTTATTAATGATAATTTTATTTATTTTTAGTGCTTTAAAAAATTAAAGTCTTTTTATGGAATTTGTGTCTCAAGGCACCTCCATTAAAAGGGAATTTTTCCATATATGTAGAATTAAAAAGAAGCATATTTAAGATTATATAAATACTCATACAAGATGGTTGTTCAGGAGAGATTTCGAAAGAGAATTATTTTTAAATGCCAATGATATATTCCTTTTCATTTCTTGTCGCTTTATAAGTCCCTTTATGTTTGTGATGGAAACTAGTATTTTGTCAGATAAAAATATCACACGTAACACAAAGAAATGGTAAGGTATGATAGCCAGTTAAAACTATTTGATAAAAAGCTGAAGTAAAAAAGAATGGAAATTACGTATCTTAAAAATAATGGTGTGCTTATGGAAGTTTCCTAGAATTGCTGGCTGGATCATTTTAGAAATACTGGGTGGTGTGTGTGTGTGTGGTATGTGTGGGAGACAGAGAGAGACCTATAAAGTGTTGGTTTTGTTTCACAATCTGGATTAAAGAAATGTTAAAGCTGTTATGTATAAACTTGAGACTGATTTTCGAATGTTTTATGTTTTCATGATTTCAGAAATGAAATCTTTTTTTCTTTTTGTTATTGCAGTGATTTGCTGTCCTCTGAATACGTAGAGAGACACATTGAACATGGAGGCAAGACTGTGGAAGTTAAAGTAAGTGAAGTTTTCCTTTCTTTGGGGGAAATCTGAGAATCTTTTAAATATTACTGGCTATGTTTTAATTTTCAGTGATACTTCTAATACAGAGTTTTGAGGTTTTTAAATTTTTTGTAAGTTATTAAAAAGGTTTGTCACTCACTTGTGAAGAAAATACAGTTTTAGTTATTAGAAAAAGAATTTTTAGTTTACTATAGGAATTGCTGGACTTATCTTCTGCAGGATTAAATTCTGCTGTAAGTAATTCTTAGATTATGTCCCAGAAAATAATTTCTTAAATTTACCTGAAAGGACAGCACTGACAACCAAGAGCTGAAATCTTGAGTCCAGGGTAGTAGTACGGCTTTTCATTCAGTTGTGAAAGACTTTTGCCTGGTAAAATGTAAAATTATTAGATCTACAGGGAAGTCTCAAGGAGTTTAAAATACCTGGAAACAGAAATCTCAGGATACTGCTATGAAAGGTAAGCTCTGAAAAGATTAACACACAAATAAAAGCCTCCTCCAGCTATAGGAATAAGAATGTGTGTTTTTTCCTAACACAAAGAAATTCCAAATGTTTGGGCTGATGGATATGCTAATTACCTTGATTTGATCATTACACATTGTATACATGTATCCTGATATCACCATTGTACCCCATATGTATGTACAATTATGAAGTCAATTAAAAATAATGATAAAAAATTTTTGAAAGAAGAATGTGTTTTATCCTAGTCTATTGATGATGTAATCTGAGGACATGAGAGACGAAAAGACACCGAAGTAAAAGGCTCCTTTCTGCTCAATATTTAGTACAGTGAGTTTTGGCCAAGTGTTGATTTTCTCTTTGAACAGTGTTCGGAGTATCTGTTCTACACTATCTGAATTATAATGTCATTTGTTTATATTTGTTTTCTTTTTCTGATTACAAAATTGATACATGTTCATTTTAGAAAACCCATAGGCAGAGAAAGGTACAACAAAAAAGGAGAAATCACCTTTAAACTCTTCATTTAGAGATAAAATTTGTTTTTATTTTGTTGTACTTCCTTTTAGTGTTTTTAGTGTGTTTTTTTTTTGGTCCTATGCAAACATTTATATACTTATATATACATATTTACATAGGTAGTATCATATCTGTAATAAATATTATTTCTTGCTTTTTTTTTTTTTTTTTTTTTTTTTTTTTTTTTTTTTTTTTTGGTGGCTGGCCTGTATGGGGATCTGAATCCTTAACCTTGGTTGTAACACTGCGCTCTAACCAACTAAGCTAACCTGCCAGCCTCTGTTCCTTGCTTTTTAGTAAACTGTATCATGTTGTAAACATTTTCCTAAGTTACTTTCCCATAAAGCATATGTTTATTGTTTTTCTATTTATATATATTACTGTAATAAAGCATTTTTTTGTAGATGCATTTTATTATTTTTAAATTTATTTTTTATTGGCATATTCATTGTTACACATCATACTTCTCTTTATGTCCTTATCCAATCTCTCCCCTTCCCCCTCCCCCTTCCTCTTTCTCCCTCCCCTTCCCCCTCTTTCCCCTCCCCCCTCTAATAACCACAGATTTATTCTCTCCATCTGATACATTAACTGTTCCTCTGTTGGTTTGTTGCCTGGATGATCTGTCCAGTACTGAGACAGGTGTGATCAACTCTTCCCCTGTTATCATAAATCAGATGCTTCTTCTATTACTCAGGAGTGTGCTTTGTGGAGAGAGAGGACCTTTTTTTTTGGTCTCTGCTGGTGCTTTTCCTTGTCAAATTAAACTCTGTTATTAATAACCAAAATAAACTACATTTATTTGACAAACTGAAGAGAATTGGGTTTTTCAGTTATATATATATATATGTATATATATAAATTTAAAAAGAGCTACGAGAGAAAGGAAGGCAGGAAAGAAAGACGACAGTAGTGCTATGATCCAGCAGAGGGAGGGAACACTCCTAGGGCTACGAATTGGAGTGGAGGGGTGAGGGTGAGGGGACGGGAGGTTGGGGGATAATTGGGAGGGGACAAAGGGTACAAAAGTAATTTCTGGTGTTGGGTATGCCCCCAGTATGAATCTGGCCCTCATATCATGGGCAGGAGGGGGGACAATCAGCTTTGTATCTCATCAATATTCGTAATAAATAAATAAATAAATAAATAAATAAATAAATAAAAATAAAAAAAAGAAAACTTTCTATTGTAAAAAATTTCAAACATATACGGAAGTAAAAAGAATAGTATAATGAATCCCCTTATACCCATCATCTAGCATCAACAGTCATCAACTTTTTGACAATCCTTTCTCTCTCTCCTTACTTTGTGTGTGTATGTGTGTAGTATTTTAAAACAAATTCCAGACATTAGGGCATTTCACCAGTAAAATATCTCTCTATATTTATACATTTCTAACTGATAAAAAGTTAAAACAAAATGTTTTAATTTTTATAAGTGACCTAGTTATAATAACTATGCCAGCCCCTCCAGAAAGTTATTCCATACTTAAGACTGACAAATTGAATGTTTGATTGATTTATATATCACTGCCTTTGTGCAGAAAGGATTTCAGGATTCTTCCAGGTATGATGTGGGAGAATGAAACCATTTTGCTTATAGTTGGGAAAAAAATACCTAGATTTAGACTCTCCATTTCCTTTTTTTCTCAACTCTGTTTATTTGGCTTCACTTCTCTATTTTGTATGATAATGTTTTTCTGAATGCAGAGTATCTCTTACTCCTTTGTTAAGCTAAAGAGGAAAAGAAACAGGCTGTTCACTCTCCATTTCCATCTGTGTCCGTCAGTGGAATGATGGAGTGCAAATGAGCATGAAGGATAGATCCAGCACACAGCTCTCTGCTATCTCTACAGCAATATCTCTTTTTAGAAAACTTGTGCTTAATCAGCAAAGTGCACTCCACTCTGAGATCATTAGGCTCCATGGGTATATATAACACACAAAGCACTGCCGTTATCACACAATCTTTGCTGATTTTCTAGCCTGAGAATTACATTTTCTTCGTTGATGGTTTTTGTAACCCCTAAGCCTATAAAACCAGAGAAATGATAAATCCAAACTTCATCCAAACCCTAGGGCCAGAGGACATTTTGTTTCTCCCTTTAAGAAAACCACTTTGATCTCACCAATTACCTCCATTTGTTTCCACTCCATTTAAAAATCTAGCTCAGAATTCTCTTCTGGGTTTTTTCCAGGAAAGTGCTGAATCCCTCCCATCAATCCAAAGTCAGTAGCAAATTATTTCTTTGCTGGTTTCTTCATGTCTTGCCCTCTGTACTTAGCTCTTCAAGATGTTTCTTTTGATGTGAAATCTGATAGTTATTTATTAATCAGAATTTTCTTAAGCATTTCTCTTCACTATACATTATGAGTCAAATAAAATTAGAACATTTCAGATTTTTTCTTTTCCTTCCCTCATCTACCTTTAAAAAAAAAAAACCTTAATTTTTTTTAACTTTTCCTTTACCTTCTGCTTTAGTTTGCTAGGACTGCCATAACAAAGCACACCAGATTGGGTGGTTTAAACAAGAGAAATTTATTTTCTCAATTCTGGAGGCTAGAAGTCTGAGATTAAGGTGTTGACAGGGTTGGTTTGTATGTCGTCTTCTCTTGTGTCTTCACATGGTCTTGACTCTGCATATCTGTGTCCTAATCTTCTTTTCTTGTAAGGACTCAGCCAGTGAGCGCATCGCACCGGTCATCCCTATATAGGATCCGAACCCGCGGCGGGAGCGCTGCTGCACTCCCAGCTCCGCACTCTCCCGAGTGCGCCACGGGCTTGGCCCCTAACGACTTTGTTTTGACTTAATTATCTCTCTAAGGATTGTGTCTCCAAATACAGTTAAATTTTTGAGTTACTGGGAATTAGGACTTCAACGTGAATTTTGGGGAACACAATTCAGCACAATATTGATTTTAAAGTTCTATTAATTTTTTTTTTTTTTACTTTTTTTCAAAGGTAAAGTCTTTATGAAGAAAAAAAAGATACTTTTTGTTCCTTTAATAAAACATATCAGTCTCATCTTTTACTTATATTTATTTTAAATTTGTCTAAAAGTTAAATTCTGAATTTATCCCTCTGTCTAGGGAGACCTTTTATGTGTTTGATATGGACTTTAAAAAGAACTTTTTGGGGGTGGGCAACTGGCCAGTAAGGGGATCTGAAGCCTTGACCTTAGTGTCATAACACTGAGCTCTAACCAACTAAGCTAACCCATCAGCCCTAAAAAAGAATTTTAAAGTAAAGCCTTAAATAATCAGAATACCTTGGGAATGCTATTTTTTTAATTTTGATTGTGGAGAACTATGGCTCTAGATTCATAAGAGAAAGGAAACTGGAATTGATGAATAGTGGCAACAGAGTCTAAACCATGCAGTTTGCTCTTTTATATTTAGCTAGCATTTTGTATTGAAACTGAAAGCTGCAAGTATTCTGGTTAATTTAAATTTCCAGTTTTATAGGCTCAGTATTATAATACTAATACTAGTAATAACTAACATACATTGCTAATATTTGTAATAACTAATGCTTATTGCATGATGTGATAGGCACACAAATTTATATGTATTTGATCCTCAAACAACCCATAATTACAAATATAACTATTATCCTACTTTACAGAAAGTAAGGCACAGAGAATTTACATAACTTGTTGAAAATAACACAATAAAGGACCAGCCCGGTGGCGCACTGGAGAGTGCGCCGCTTGGGAGCGCGGCGGTGCTCCAGCCGAGGGTTCGGATCCCATGTGGTGACCGGTTCCCGCTCACTGGCTGAGCGCGGCGTGGGTGCAGCACTGAGGGTTGCGATCCCGTTGCCGGTCCCTGGTACGGGCGCGACACCGAGGGTTGCGATCCCGTACCGGTCAGTAAAAAAAAAAAAAAGACAAAAAGACAAAAAAAAAAAAAAAAAAGAAAATAACACAATAAGGAGTAGTGGAGCTGCAATTTGAATCTAGATTATCTAATAACAGAGCTGACTCATACCATATTATCTACCATATGTGT